TGGGACTTGCCGATACAGAAAGTAGCTGTATGAAAATGGCTGACGTACTCCTTTACACCTTTTTCATGAAAAGACAATACTGGAAATGCTTGCGTGTGACGAAAGGAGCTGTAACTGTGGAAAGCTTAAGTTAAAGGTAAAGGTTCCCTTGCTCGAAAGCCAGTCGAATCCGACTCTAGGGTTGCGGTGCTCATCTCCGTTTCAAAGCCGAAGAGCCAGCGCTGTCCGAAGACATTTCCGTGGTCATGTGGCTGGCATGACTAAACACCAAGGCGCACAGAACGCTGTTACCTTCCCACCAAAGCGGTACCTATTTATCTACTTGCAATTTCTTGCTTTCGAACTGCTAGGTTGGCAGGAGCTGGAACTAGAGACGGGAGCTTACTCCGTCTTGCGGCACCCGGGTCTCGAACTGATGAACTACCAACCTTCCACAGCCTGCAGTTCAGCGTCTTAACCACTTGAGCCACTGCAATCTTGTTGGTCTTCAAGGCGCTACTGGATTTCACATCTTACTCTTCTAGTGCAGACCAACACCACTATGCTACCCACCTGAATACTGGCAAGACAGTTCAAGCTGGTTCTACCCATGCCTTTGCATGTGCAGTAGTTAGACAAGGTTATTGTAGGCAGTTGAGGGTAACCCATTAGATCCAGTGGGTTCTCCTGGCCCTGGGAGTGTGGCCCCAGAAAGCCAATCCCATCTCATCACCTGCTGTAAACCTCAAGGATGTGCTGTCTAGCCAGTTCTTCTCCAGCAGAATCTGCTGCATTTCATGCTTAATGTGCCATTTGAAAGCCAGGGTGTGATTGCAACCTGGCTGCCGAATGGAAAGGGGTTTTTTTGTTTTTGTTTTTTTTAAAGGGGGGGGGATGCAGAACTGAGCTTCACTTCCTGTGCTCTCCATAGCAAACAACCTAAGCCGGTTTCACTACCTGAGTTTTGTGGTGTCCCATAAGCAATTAGTTCCTAGCTGGAAATGTTCAGTTCACAGCTGCCCTTGATTGTCTGGCCTGTGGCCGAATGACAACCCAGGGACATTAAAATCTCTTGCATGAAAAGGACTTGGAATGAGTCGGTCTGCCCCAGCCTCTGGTGCGGTCCATCCTTTAACACCACATGAATGTAGGAAGCTGCCTTTTATACCGAGTCGAACCCACTGGCCTCTTGAAGTCATGATTTGTCTGCTCTGACCAGCAGTGGCTGCCCAGGCTCTCAGGCAGAGAGGTCTCCCTCATCACCTGCTGCCTGGTCCTTCCAACGGGAAATGCCAGGGACTAAACGTGGGACCTTCTGCATGCGAAGCCACTGAGCTGTGACCCGTTTTACCACGCATGGCTGTAACGGCTGGCGGCTAAATTGTCTTATTTGGGGTGGAGCATCCGCTTGGGATGCAGAAGACCCCGGGTTCAGCCCCCTCCTTCTGCAGCAGGTGATCTGAAAAACCTCAAAGCCTCAAGACCCTGAAGAGCAGCTGCTGGTTGGAGTACACAGTTCTGGCCTTAATGGACCAATGGTCTGACTCAAGCAGCTTCATGTACAGGTGTGCAGTGCCAAAAAAATAAATAAATCAGTATTTCCAGATCCAGATGGAGCAAAAAAATTATCAGTATTCCCAGTTTCCAAATACTGGTATGATACTTGGATCTGGTTGGGGCGGGGTGGGGTGGGGTTGGATTTCCGATATTTTCCAGCTCTATTATTCCCTATTGAGAATCTTTTGGGGGACGGGGGGGGGGTTGTTTAGGGCCGTGGTACCAAAATTGCAGGGGAGCTGCCGGCGCCTGTCCTTTAAATAACTCCCAAGTTTCAAGTCAATTGCACCAAGGTGTCCAATTATATGGGCCCCTGAACAAGGTGCCTCCATTGTTTCCTATAACAACAATAAGGCAAAAAATGTAAAATTGGGGAATCTCTTTCCATGAGAATGCCACTGCAAGATATTGTTGAGCCCAGCCAATATAAAATCTGACAATCTGCACCTATGTAAAACCCAGGAATCTGGACCTATGCAAAACATAAGAATCTCACTAAGACTATCAATGTAAAATGCAAGCATCTACCAAAGAAAAAACCCACAAACCCCATAGGAACCAACTCCAACAAAGAAGGAACCTTTAAAAAAAAAAAAACCTTGAAACTGACAAAATCTTGCCTCAAGCAGACAGGCAAGCTAACACCAAGCCCTGGGAGACACAGAAATACGGGGGGGTGGGACACAGGAGCCTGCAAAATGCTGGCTCCTGATATTCATGTTTAATCCAAGTATTTCCAGGATTTTCAATATCTGAATGTATCAGAAAAATACCAATAAGGTATGTTTTGGATCTATTTTTGGGCCAGAAATATCCAAGCGCACATCCTTAGCTTCATGTGTTCTCTGATTTCCTTAGATATTTAAACTCTTCTTATTTTCTCAATGGAAACCCAAAGTGGCTCCCCCCATTCTGCCCACCTTCATTTTATCCCCACAACATCCAAACCTGTTAGGCAGGACCAGCTGAGAAAGAATGGCTGACCCAAGGCCATTCACTCTGTAAGATTCCACAGTAGAATGGGTGTTCAAACCTAGATGCCCCAGTTTTTTTGCCTGACACTCTAATCACTATGACACACTATCTTCTTCTAGTGGCTCTTTTCTGTAAAAGGTAAAGGTTCCCTTGCTTGAAAGCCAGTCGAATCCGACTCTAGGGTTGCGGTGCTCATCTCCGTTTCAAAGCCGAAGAGCCAGCGCTGTCCGAAGATGTTTCCGTGGTCATGTGGCCGGCATGACTAAACACCAAGGCACACGGAACGCTGTTCCCTTCCCACCGAAGTGGTACCTATTGCTCTACTTGCAATTTCTTGCTTTCGAACTGCTAGGTTGGCAGGAGCTGGAACTAGAGACGGGAGCTCACTCCGTCATGCGGCACCCGGGTCTCGAACTGCTGAACTACTGACCTTCCACAGCCTGCAGTTCAGCGTCTTAACCACTTGAGCCACCGCAGCTCAGTGTAGCTCAGTGGAAAAGCCTCTTCTTTGCATGCAGAAGGCTCCAGGTTCAGTCCCTGGCATCTCCAGTTAAAAAGGACAAGGTGATGTGGCTGAAAGATCTCTGCCTGAAATCCTGAAGAGCTGCTGCTGGTCTGAGTAGGACAACACTGACTTTGATGGACCAAGAGTCTGATTCAGCGTCAGGCAGCTTCATGCATCTTTGTTCATCACCGTTGAGAAGGGCAGCCCCACCCACCCTGTACTGTGTCAGTTGCGTCTGTCTCAGGTGGTAACAAAAAATGCAGCTGTTCAAACCAGTTAAAGAGCCAGAGGACGGGAGAACTGCTAGCAGCGGGAAGCAAAGTCCAGAAAGGGCAGGAAGCCGATTGCAGAGGACAGCTAGTTGACCCACAGAGCATCCTCTGGAAGACTTCCAAACCCCTCTTCTCCCCTCTGAAAGGCCGTGGTGGCACCCAAGGAAGTTTCGCCTGTCTGTTTTTTCTGTCAGCCACTGCTGCTGCTGAGAAGAGGGGGTTTCAAAAGGGCATGTTTCCTTCAAAGCGATATTTATGTGCATTGTTACTGGCTCATGCATGAAAATTTTAACTGCGTTTTTAAAAGCAGAACATTGGTGAGAGTGGAAATGATTCCTCCTCTTGTTTCTGCCACATTGGTGGGGGGCAGGGGATGGAGATAAAAGAAATGGTGGGGAAGGGGGGGGTCATTAAACCCTGCACAGCATGTCAGGACGGTCAGTTGATCTTTATTGCAGCACACGGGCCATTCAGAAACAGTATAAAACACTATTATGAAGTTGACTTTCTACATAGAATCTCCGCATACAACATTCCTCCTAATACATCTAACATTTTAAGGTTTAGAACATGAGTACATTATCCCCCAGCCGTTATCTCAGCCTGTATTTTCATTGTAGAGAACAGAAACTTAACTACAGATACAGTAGCTTGTTGGTCAGAGAACATTTTATAAACCATCCCAGGTTCCAATAGATCCAAGCATGCCTTTACATAAAATCTACAGTGAAATGACACATGAACCAATGATTCAATCAGGTTACCAGAGGAAGGACAAACTCGTTGGAACTAAATTGAACAGTAGGAGAGAGCATACACTGTGGGCTTTAGCCAATGCTTCTTGAAAATCAATATGTTTTATATGGTCATTCATCACTAAACTAGCTTTATTTCACCCTGCGGATTTTTTAAAAAGGCAGGGAAAGACCAAAAAGTGTGTGGCTACAGAGTTGTGTCAGTTCACCCCAAATGTACAACCATTCAATTGCAGTAGGAGTTAAATAAATTGTTTTAAGTAGGAAAAACGGGTGAAATGCTGAAACACAACATGGGGGAGGGGAATGTCATCTGGATTCTGAGGAATCCACGAGTGACTAAACACTGTCCAAGAGGGAGAAAAGGGCTATCGCTGAGGGTCCTTCGTCACGCTTCCTCAATTGTCTCTGTGACGGCAGCCATGTTATTTCCCTCCACTCCTTAGGGCCAAGCCGAGAGGAGTGTATGCAGTGTGCCAGGAATTTCCATGCGTATGAGTGGAGATGTGTTCCAGAGTGTGGCGAGGGCTTTTATGCTGAAGAGGTATACGGTCTCCTGTACAGAGTTTGCAGAAGGTACGATCTGTATTTGTCACCTAGTCCTGAAGCTGGTGTGAAATTAGCGTGGGGAAATTAGCATGGGAAACCAAGGGGAGTTCTTCCTTGGTGCTCGCGGAAAGGAAGCAGCAGCCTTTTAGCTTTGAGGTTTGCAAGCAGTTCCGATTTATTTATTTACTTGGTTTACTTTACTGCCTTCTCAGTGGGGACCCAGATCCCCTTTCCGTCCCTTCCATTTTCTCCTTACAACAACCTTGTGAGGGTGGTTAGGCTGAGAGTGTGTGACTGGTCCAAGTTCACCAAGATAACACACTTTTAGTCTAATCTTTCTTACACAATTGTTCTGAGGAATAAATGGAGAAGGGGAGAATGCTGTAAGCTGCTTTGGGTCTCCATTGGGGAGGAACGTGGAGCAGGGGTCATTTCGTAGAAAAAGAGGTGCAGGAGCTCATTAGCATAACTAATTTGCATATGTCACACCCCCTGACATACCCGGAAGTGTGTCAGAAGGCAACACCCACGGCTCAGGCTCCCCTGGACTGTTTTGGGTTGCTAGCTATTGGGGGGGGGACATGG